CTTCTTCTTCTTCTTCATCTTCTTTCAGTTTCTTAGTTCTAATTTTATTGCATTGTGGAGAGAAATATAAAATAGAAAATACATATTTTCTATTCAGAGTTCAGTTCTTGATAATACACAGTAATATGCACATATCTTTATTTATTGACAAATATAAATGCAGTACATTAGCTATATTACCCAAATCTTCAACATCTTTTTATTTGGGCAAATAAAAAGAATTTTTATTCTGAGAGAACTATGTTGATACTCTTCATTACTATGTGTTTGTTATTCCCTTATTATGTATGCAGTGTTTAATCTCATGATATTTAATATTATATTAAGTGATGCATATTTTTGTGAAGCACCTCGCTGTAGATCTTAATTTTCACAAAGTGATACTCTTTTTCTGCTTGTTCTTCATTTTAAACCCTACTTTGTCCTATATCAACATGACAAACTCTTCTTACTTGCTTTTCTTTTATAATTTGCCTTCTCTACATTTCAGTAGATTTTTATTTAGAAATATTCTCAGATCTTTTGTAGGAATATTTCTTTTAAATTGAGTTTGGTATTTTGATTCATTTTAAGACTTTTTTGCCTCTTGTATTTCTTATATATTACATATCAACTCATTGAACAATAAAATTTCTTAAGCTATATTATATATATATATATATATATATATATATATAGTTTGTTCAGTGTGCTCTCTCTCTCTCAGCAGCTTTCATGCTAGTCTTTGTTTTCTATGACACAATTACCAGGATTATTTAAGAATAACCCAAGACAGGACTTCTGCCTGTCCTCCCTCTGCCCTCCCCACCCCTCACACTAGAGAAGGTGTACCCAATCACAGGCCTCAAGATGCCAGGTGCACACTTCACGGAAACAGATGCTACCCAGGCCCTAATCTTTGGGGCTTGGCTTTCTGCTTAGCCCCTACTCAAAAAGATGCTCTCTTTCTTTCTATAGTGAAGTGCAACAGTGTTGCAGGATCTCTGCAGACTCACCTTTGCCTATTAACAGTCTCAGTCTCTGGCTTCCCTTTCCATGGCAAGATCAGTGAATCAGAATTGTATTAGTCAGTTTTTTTCTTATTGAAATAAACAAAGCTAAAGATAAAGAAAGTTATAAAAAGAGCCAAGATTCAGTTTATATTTTTGGAGGTTTCAGTCTGTGTTTGCCTGGCCCTGTTGCTTTTGGACCTGTGGCAAGGCAGCACACCAGGGTGGCAGTACATGGCAATCCTGTTGTATTCCAGATACCGGTTGTGTTAAGGACATGGTGTCCTGTTAGCAGATATCATTACTTTGCTGTTATCTTCTTATGGAGTTTAAGGAGATGGAAATTGGTCCTAAAGTGGTGTGGGTGGACTTGTGATGGCTAACTTTACATGTAAAGACCCAGAGGAAGGAAGGGCTGAGGTTCCATTGCTTCAGGGAAGGGCACATCCCAAGCCAGAAGATTTCTCACTAGGCCCTACCTCTTCCATCCCCTACCAAATAGTAGCACAGAACTAACACATTGGCCTTTGGGAGACACTTCTCTAAACCATGGCAAGGGCTAGGGATATAGCTCAGTGGTATAGATCCCTGCTTGATAAACACAAGGTCCCGAGTTCAACCCCCGGTACAAAAAAGAAAAGAAAAAAAAAAAAAAAAAAGAAAGAGAACTTTCCTTTTACTAATTTTATTTAGACAAGATATCACATTTACATCTTGTCCTCTGAATAACTACAATGAAGACAACAATATGCAATTTATTAATTATAACTGTCCTACTAACCTGTTTTGAAACTGTTTCATTGCTATTTTATCTTTTTTTCTCATAAAAATGAATACAAGATTTAAAAAAAATGTAGCAAGACCTACTCTCGATGACTCTCCTAATTTTCCAATTGTGCTTGTGCTCATTCCTAGGCTGTATGGTGTTGTATTTACTGTAAACTCTGTCTATGTTATGGTCCTCTTCTCTACTCTACTCTTGTGGGATAAGTGCAAATGCTGTACCATTCTGATGATTTTTTAATCCTGAAATTTGTTAAGCAGAATACACTAATTAGAAGAAAATAACTACACTATTGGGGATTTTCTTTGCCCTAGACATATGGGTGCAGTGGATTTAAGATAGCTTTTAATGATAAGGCATTCAATAAGGTACTGAATTGATTGTTCTTGTCACTCTTTAAAATTATAATGCAGAATTAACTGGAAATTGTGTTATAAGTATTACAAACCACATAAAGTAAGTCCTGCTTATCATCTGAACATATATCTATGTTTAACTTATATATTATGTTTGTTGATTGTTTATCGTCCTCCGTCATAATGTAAACACCAGAGGAGATATCTTTGTGTTTTCTCTGGTGTATTTCAAGGACCTGGAATCATGCGTGGCACATAGTAGATGCTCAATAAATATGGTGAGTGAATAAATGAACAAATATCAGTCAAAGGGAAAATCAAAGGTGGAACTCTTTCTTTTTTTTTATCTTTCTTTCTTGATGTGTTTAGGCAACAGAGTCTCTTGGTTTTGGTACTTGAGTTTTTGTATTGATCACAATCATCACCTTTAGTTTCTGAATTAAGGAAAATTATTCTCCTTTTATTCTGAGATCATTTGGGGGCACAGTGGATACTATCAAAAAGCAAACTGTCTTTGGGAAAAGATGACTGTCTTATACATATTTTTAATACACTTTTGATTTATACCCAGGTTTTCATGTTTCCCATTAATGCTTTCATGGTTCAGAATATTAGCTCACAATTGTATTTTTCTTGTCGTCTACAGGACAGCCAAGTACAGCAAGTGGTCGTTTCTTCCTCGATATTTGTACCTACAGTTTAGCAAGGCTGCCAATGCTTTCTTTCTGTTTATTAGTATATTGCAGGTAATATTTTTGAACATATTATTAGACCAAGGTTCTCAAGCACTCATAAAAACTCACTTAGTTGAAATAAGAGTTTGATGGAGACATTAAACTTGGATACTGTTTGAAGAATAATTCTCTTGTTGCAATATTTAAGTTGTTCAATGAGCCCCTGAAATTCCATATTTGGCTTGAGAAAATGTTTGGATGCTAAGAAATGATTTGGCCCACATTCTATCCCGATTAGGATAGAATTTTAATGAAATTTCCTTGCAAGAGTGGTCATGATTATTTATGCCACATGTAAAAGAGAACAATTTTATTATATTTTGAATAGAATAATTTAAGAGAAATCTAAATGCTAATTTAAAATGGCATCTTTTTCAAAGAGTTAAATTCGGAGCTTTCCATAACCTTATCTACTACCAATTGTTGAGTCTCTTTTTAGTATGAATCTCATGATCCGACTTGTCACATGCCCTCACAATTCTCCATTGTTCTTCCTGTTTCTACACTGTGGGCACTGTACAGTGTAAACCTAGAAGGCACTAATCTGCATGTATCCTTTTCATTCTCTTCAAAGCAAAAACTCAAAACCATCCTCTTCCAAACTTCCCCAAATGCATGTCATCTCAGATTTCTCCCTTCTCTAAATGCCTATAACAATGACTTGTGTTATATAATTGGTTTATTTTTCTCCCAGAAAACTATACATTCCTTAAAAATAGGACCAGAGATGTAGAAATTGTTAAAATTTTGGGACAAAAATTTAACAAATTTGTCAACTTTACCTCAAATAGAATTGGATTCAGTAACCATTTAGGAACCATTATCATATGTTTGAACCTGTGTATGGAAATAAAAATTTAAGGATGAAGTTTTAGATGTGATTCCTCTCTTGGAGAGTTCAGAGGCTAACATGCAATACTTTAGGACACAATTTTTTTTTTTTTTTTTTTTTTGCGGAACCGGGGATTGAACTCAGGCCCTTGCGCTTGCCAGGGAAGCGCTTATTCCACTGAGCCATCTCCCCGGCCCCCAAGTACACATTTAAAATTTACTACAGGAATATTGGATACATCTGGCTCAGAGTTAATGAAGAAAAGCTACTTTAAAAAGGTTCATTTAAGCCAAATGTCAGAAAATTAGGATCTTGACTTACATGCAGGGACCACAGAAGGTTTCTGGGCACTGGGGCCAGCAAACACATGGAAGCTAAAATATGGGTAGCCTTTCTGGCGGAGAACTAACCTATCAATCATCTTTGCCTTATCACAACAAATGCTGGGTGAAACTACATTTATAAAGACTAATGGTTGATTTAAGTTACAGTTTGGAGCTCAAAAGTTCAAGATCAGATGGGCCTGCTATCTTGGCTTTTGGTAAGGGCAATAGATAAGAATGGCGGGAATATGTGTGTAAGCAAATTGCCCTATTTTTAACTGAAACAGGGCAAATGGGTGGGAAAGGTTCCACAGCCCCCTTTAAGGGCAACATCCCCAATGACCTGAGGACATTTCACTGAACTCCATCTTTTCAATGTCCATGATACCTTCCAGTACTGCCAGTCTGAGGATTAAGCCTTTACCCCTGAGTCTTTTGGGGGTAACCATGCTAGAAATCAGAAGTCAAGGAGACAGGGAGAAAGATAACCTCACTGTGAAGCTTTCTATAAAATATAAATATATATAACTATGTTACTCAAACAAGTAAAATACAAATTGAAAGTATTAAAAATTTCTCAAGTATATGGAATATTCTGGAATGAGTAAAAAGTTTGGCTTTCAGAGCATAAGTTGGACTAGCTAGCGGTGTTAGGTACAGCCAAGTTATCCTAAGGTGAATATGTTGCTTTCTGAAGCTTGGTCTTTGGCCTAGAGGTAGAAGGCAGTAACACTAGTGATTTTCAGGATGAAGTGGTTGACTCTGATTAGCCTTATAATTAGAAAAGAGAAGAGGGTCCTAGCCCAAATGACCAGTCTGGAGCTGAACTTCAGGAATATGAAAAAGAAGGAGAGATTCAAAAGATACTGCAAAGGCAGAGTTCATGGATGCTTCAGGCAATTTGTAATTTCAAAATTCCTCTTGTCTCTATTACTCAGAATCTTTGTAATGGTGTTGCAAGAACGTTCAGGAGCTTTAAACACTATCTTGATGAATTATGAGAAGAAATGATCAGCAAGTGAGAAATAATAAGGCAGAGAGCACTGAGACCCACATCTGGAAAGGTCTAAGACTATCTAAATCTAGAAAGCACCTCTTCTGCACCTGTCAGAAAACACCGCAGCCTCAGCTTTGTATCAGTTTATTTCTCACAAAAAGTAGGGGCAGCCCTAGAACATGACCCATAATTTATACCTAAGAAATGTTCTCTTGGGGCTCCAAAAGTTTTATCTCCTCTGCCTGAAAAAGAAATAGAGTTCAGTTAAGGTAGCTGATCATCTGGCTGGGTGCAACTGCTTTGGAAAGGTGGGTTTTAAACTAATATTTAGATTTTGAACTCTATTTTTGAAACACAATACCTGTATCTGATGAAAAGGCTAACATATTGACCGAGGTCTTAAGCAACTGTCCTGGCAACTTTTCCATTATGTGATAGTATCAACTCAAGGGCTGGTGTTGGTGTGCCAAGAGGTTTTTCCTTGACCTTTTACTTTGTATATTGTCCTTGTGTTGTGGGTCTAGGTGGCTGCTAGTAGTGTGGTTTTGAGTATAAGCAAAGTATAATGAGGATTTATCATCAGATTAATACAGCAATTGTCATTGTTTTGCAGCAAATTCCAGATGTGTCTCCAACTGGAAAATACACAACTCTCTTGCCTTTGATGATTATTCTTACAGTTTCAGGCATCAAAGAGATTATAGAAGATTATGTAAGTTTACTGATAGTGAAATGTTCTCAAAACTACTGCTTTGACTATTAAGGTATTTTGTCTTGCTCTTTTTTCCCCTTAATCAGTTGAAACTGGTATAATTCTTTTAAATTGATAGTTGGTGTGAAGAGTGAACTAACATTTTGAGATTTGAAATGTAAACTCATATACTCTTTGAGAGCTAATGAGACTTAGTAGCTAGCATAAGAAGAACAATGATGGTATCTCAGGAGATATAATCCATCCTCAGGTGAAACTCTTGCATAACTGAAAGGGATGTGTGCTTGAATACTATGATGTCTTCATTTTATTTTATTTATTATTATTATTATTATTTTTTGTATTTAGGACAGGGTGTACAGTGTCTCACTGCATAGATCGGACTCACAGTGATCCTCCTCTTTACAGCCTCCCAAATGCTGGGATTATAGGCATGAAACATCATGCCCAGTCTAGTGTGCCCCTTGGTCAGGGCCGGCACTGCAGGCCAGAGGATCAAACTCTTGGCCCCTGCATCTGCCTATGCAGATGCTGTAATCCGCTGAGCTATTTGATTGGCCCAGTTATGATGTCTTCATTTTAGTTTTAGCTTTGTCAGAGGTTCCAGGAAATATTTCACCTTTACTTTTTTTAAAAGAGACTTCTAAAAAATCTTATTTACTTATTTATTTGGTATAGGGTCTCACTATGCAACTTGGGCTCATAGTGATCCTTCTGTCTCAGCCTTTCCAGAGCTGGAATTACAGGCGTGCACCACCACACCCAGTTTCAGTGCCTGGAATGATGAACCCGGGGTTCTGGGGCTGGCGTGGCATGTGGAACAGGTGATCAGCCAGGCACTTAGACTGCTGAGCTACCTCCCCAGCTCTTAGCCTTATTTGCTGTTCACTCTGACTCCAATGGCTATGCTTGGAGTCACTCTAGCAGAGTCTCTTTTCTCTGTACTCACAATCTCAATGTTTGTTTTCTGAAATTGCTAGCTATTGCTTTTCACATGCTTCTGCTGATTCCATCTATCCTATAAACCTATGACAGAAGTAAAATCCACTTATTTGTGGCATTTGAAGCTATTCAGAATCTTCAGTTTATTTTATTTATTTTTATGTATTTGGTACAAAGTCTCTCTAGGCAGCTCAGATTCCTAGTGATTCTCCTATTTTCAGCCTTCCCAGCAATGACATTACAGGTGTGTGCTACCACACCTGGACTCAGAGTGTCCAAGGCGGGGCCAGTGGCATGCAGTGCTGGGGACCAAACCCTGGTCCCTGCGCTTGCCTAAGCAGGCACTTAGTCTGCTGAGCTGTCTCACTGGCCCCAGTATGTTCAGTTTAAACTGGAGCAAAAAGGGTTCCGAATTTCTAATTATGTGTTTGACCAAATATGGTCATTATGAGTAACAGACATATGCTGAATATGCTAAAAGTTCAAGTAGCATTTACTGTATAGCAGGCACACTTCAATGCGTCAGTGTTTGTGAGTGTGTGCACACTTGTGTGCTTCATTTAAGCAAATCTTATGTACTTTACACTACCTCTAGATGACTTATACTTAATAAGAGATGAGAGTCCACACACTGAACTGCTTTGCTTGCTCCCTCCTGTGGTCACATCTCAATGGAGAGAGGCCCACGAAGGCCAAAAAGAACAGAAATCAGTTACAGTCAAACTGGATTTTACAATTAGACTGGCTCTCTACACTTTATTAAACCCACTCTGCCTTTTACTAGGAACCAAACTGCACATTTTGAATGTTTGATGCAATAAATTTTTCTCCAAAACAGAAACGACATATGGCAGACAGATTAGTGAATAAAAAGACCGTGCTAGGTAAGTGCAATGGTTAATTTTGTATGGCAGCTTGACTGGACTACAGCATGCTCAAATATTTGTTCAAACATAATTCTGGATGTTTCTTTCTGGGGTCTTTGGATGAGATTAATCTTCAAACAGATAGAGTTAAAAAGAATATCACCTTCCCTAATATGGGTTGGTTTCATTCAATCACTTGAAGACCTGAGTAAAACAAAACAGCTTACCATCCCCCGAGTGTAAGAGAATTGTTCTCTCCTGATGACCTTTCAAACAGAACAAATTTTTTTTTTCTTATAGACTCAATGAAATATTGGTTCTTTCTGGTTTCAGGCCTGCTAGCATGCAGGCTGTAATAATACCATGGGCTGTCCTGACTGTCGGTCCTGACAACTCAACTGCAAATCTTATGAGTTGTTAGCCTCTGCAATGGCATAAGCCAATTCTTTATAATAGCTGTCTTTGTCTCTTTACTGCTCCCTGTCTGTCTGCCTATCTATCTATCATCTATCTATCTATCTATCTATCTATCTATCTATCTATCTATCTATCATCTATCTATCTATCTATCATCTATCTATCTATCTATCTATCTATCTATCTATCTATCTATCTATCATCTATCTATCTATCTATCTATCTATCTATCTATCTATCTTCTATCTACCTTCCTCTCTGGTTTATATAGTTGTTCCTTAGTATCTGTGTGGACTAGACATCCCTGATGATATCAAAATCCATGAATGTCCAAACTCCTTATAAAAAAGTGTAGTATTTGCATGTAACCTGCACATATCCTTCTATGTACTTTACATCATCTCTAGAGACTTATAATACCTAATACAATGTAAGTAGCATATAAGTAGTTGTTACACTGTATTGTTTCAGAAATAATGACAAGAAAAAAAACCAGTAAAGTTGCAACCACTATAGATCTAATTACATAGGAAACAATCCACAGTTGGTTGAATCCATAAATATGGATATGGCAAGCCCACTGATAGATGCTATTGATTCTTTTTCTCTAGAGAATACACAATAATACAAACTTTGGTACCATGAATGGTTTTCCAGGAACAGAGTTTTGAGAATGAGGTTTTTGAATTGCTTCTGGAGTTGTTGGAACTGGTTGTGTACTTTCATTGGATTTTAAGGCACTAATGATTTTATTTATAGTAGTATAGAGAGCATGGATAGTGCATGATATGCTATGGAAATAGAGATATGAAAAAATATTACTGTTAGGTAAACCTAATAAGCTTCTTGTAGGAAACAAATATTTAGGTATTATGCATATAAAACTTCCAAACTTTTTGTTAGATCAACGAGTATAATGGACTTCACCTGCTGCTAATGATGCCACTGGACAAAATGAAGGAGGACAGGGAAGAATACAATGGTTTGAAATCTTAGCTCAATCATTACATAAATGACCTGGAGATTGTTTAGATGGCCCTTGAAGGAGGGCCTACCACTTTACAGCCAGAATTCCTATAAACCACATACAGAATCTCAGTGCAACTGGCAGAACTATAAAACAAGTTGAATGATCAGCTCCTCAAGGTGTCTACTATTGAAATGAAAGCATTTGGAGGAAGGCATGGGATCCCAAAAGTTGGAGGAAGGATATGGCCAATACTCTGATAAGGCTGGGGACATTGAGCTCCCACATTATTATGCCTTTTGTTGTCATTATTATGCCGTTTGTTGGAAACTGCCTATCCAATTCCTATGGAAACATTCTGTCTATCCCTAGTGGAAGGATCCTCCACACTCCCAGTGCAAACCATCTTTCTGTTGGTACAGGCTTCATTGCCTTCCTACCCTTCCTACGTTTGATGGTCTCAGCCTTTCTACTTCACTGTAAAGATTTTAACTCTGAATTCCTTGGGGAATGTCCACATGATCTCCTGAAAGAGTTAATTAGTAGATATGGTTGAGTCTCTTCTTTGCTTCTAGACATATAATTAGTCTTGAGTCACAATAGGCTCCTAAAGGCAAAATTCATGTTACCCACAATGAAGTACACTACACACCAAAAAAAGACTACTTGAATCTTCTAACTTTACCGACATAAATCTGGGGAAGATATGTAGAAGTGGATACTAAGGGTCTGAGGTAATGATAGGTGGAAAATAAGGTTGGATCTGGCTCAATTTATTATTGGGGCCCACTAAGCAGAGATTCAACACTTTATGTTGCAGAATCTTGATGAATTAGAAAAGATTCTATTTGGTTGCATGTGTGAAATATGGATAAAAATGTGACCCACTGGATGAGCTAGAAATGTCAGAACTGTGTTGGCAGAAGAAGAGATTCACAAGCTTAAGGTGGTTGGAATGTTACAGTGGATTTGTTGTTTAAGACCTACTCACTAACCCTGAGAGAGTCCACAACAGGCATTTTTCAGTCCAACAGTGAGACTTTGTGAGGGAAGACCATAGTGAAGAGCTGTCCTCACTCTTCTCTGTAGCCTATTGTTTCTGCCTTACAGTGGATACTATAACCATTAAATTAGGAAAACTAAATGTAATGTATGTTAGGCATTTCCTCACTATGAAAAAACATCTGAAACAAACAACTATAAGTTATAAGACTTACTGTGGCTCACGGCTTCAGAAGTTACTATGGCTCGTGGTTTCAGAAGTTTCAGTATGTGGTCACTTGGTCCCATGAACGGGCAGAATATCATGGCAAGGAGCACATGGTAGAGCAAAACTGCTCATCTTGGGGTTGGCAAGATAGCTCAGTGGTTCAGGGCTTGCCATTTCCCATGAGCACCACAGGCCTTTAGCATCATGGCCTTTAGGCAACATTTAAGATCCACTTCAGAAGATAATGGAAGTAAATGGATTCCAGGTGGCCAGGACCCAGTGGAAATGATCAGTCACCAAACTCAAGATAAGCAGGGTTGTAATGAGCAACAGAGTTAATAATCAGAATAGAGTCTCTTATAGAGACCTGTAGCATTAATTAGTGTTCTAAGAAGTAAAATAGAAAGACTATTAAACTTTTAATATGTGTATTATGTATAAGCAGAAAAGGTCTAAGCTGAATGAAGCAAAGTCTAACTTGAATAATAAGAACAGAGTAATGTGACCCTTCCAACAATTTCCACACTTGAGTCAGTTTATACAACAGAATCCAAGGAGGCTGAGTCCTTTTGAGGGGATACCACTAAAAATTTACACTGTTAAGCTTTCTCCTAGCCTTTAAGTGCTGGGAATAAGAGTGACACCTCCTCACTCTTAGTGGTGACCCACTAGAAAAATGTTTGCTTCTTGTTGAGACTTTATGCTCTTCTGACCTAAAGCTCCTAGTTTCAAAAAGAGGATTCCTTCCACCAGGAGATGAAATAATGATTCCTTTGAACTGGAAGTTAGGACCTTCCCACTGTGGGCTCTTATACCTCTGAATCAATAGGCAAAAGATGAAGCTACTTTGCTGGCTGGGGAGACTGACCCTCACTAGAAAGGGAAATGGACTGTTCCTTTCCTTGCAGGGAGGGAAGAATGTGCATGGAAGAAGGATGCTCCTTTAGGACATCTTAGTATTTTAATGCCACGTAATTAAGGTCAATGGGCACAACAACCTAATTCAGGCAAAACTACTAATGGTTCAGACTCTTCAGAAATAAAAGATTGAGTCACCCCAAGAGTAAGGAATAAAAACCAGGTGAGGTACTCACTGAAGGCAGACAAAGACAGAGCGGAGAGTGGGCTTTTGTTCCTGTTTTTTTTTTTTTTTTTTTTTTTTTTTTAATATGGAGGAGGGTCAGAGACCTTCACCTAGAATTTGACATAAGTGGATTGGTACCTCTGTTTAACATTTTTTCCTGGTGGTCTACATGCAGCTTCTTTTTTGTTGTTTGTTTACTTGTCCTTGACATACTTTTAAAGCCTTGTCTTTGGAACGGGCAGCTAGGTGGCCAGGGTTACCGTATTCATAGTTAGCTTAGAGTTAGTAAGGGGGTATGCAGTTATCTATTGTACTCTATAATGATCCTAGAGTAAATAATATAGAAACTTGAGAGTGATACACACACACACACACACACACACACACACACATTAGTACACAGATATAAATACATACTGCTTTAAAGTTAGTTTGCCCCCCACCTTTTGCTTCTCCTATGTTCTATTTGACATAGGGGTGGCTTATTGTTTGTGCACTTGGATTTTTTTGCTGTATCTTTCCTATCTGGCTTTTTTTTTTTTTTTTGACCCATTTTTGAAAGTTTGAAGGTCATTTGGTAACTTTTTAAATCAGGTTTTTCTCTTTCTCCATCCCTGTCCTGGACCTATTCCTGGGGGAATTTCTCTAGTAAAGTTTGTTTTTAACACCTTCTACCCAGCAGTAGACCTAGGAAGGCCCCTATGCTATTATTTTCCCTGTCTGTAGATGCTGACCCTACAGAGTTGTGTTAGTATACATTTTTACCAATAATTTGGAAAGCTTCTATTTTCCCTGAAATGTTGCAAGCATTTGCAATTGATTTCTTGATGATGGCCAGCCTTTCTGGCATAAGAGGGAATCTCAATGTTGTTTTAAGTTGCATTTCTCTGAATACCAGAGATGCTGAACATTTTTTCATGTATTTATTGGTTATTTGTACTTTTTTTCTGAGAAGTGTCTGTTCCTTTCAGTAGTCTTTTATTTTGGGAGGTTTGAAGAGGTTTTTCACTTGCTTGGTTAGGTTATTTTCTGTTTAATTTTTCTTGATCTTATTGGGAATGGTATTGTTTTCCTAATTTCTTTCTCACTGAGTTCATTGTTGGTATACAGGAACACTATTGATTTTTGTTTGTCAATTTTGTATCCCGTTGTACTACTGAATTTGGTTATTAATTCTATGAGATTTTTGGTGGACTTTTTGGGTCTTGTATGTAGAAGATCATGCTGTCTGGAAATAATAATACTTCGATCTCCTCCTTTCATACACATATTCATACGTTTATTTCTTTCTCTTGTCTGATTGCCCTGGATAATGTTGCAATTATCATATTGAACACGGG